GTCCCGGTCCACGCTGTAGACTGTGACACTATTTTCAGCCTCTGGCACACAAACTGAAATCAACAAGTGCAAGTGGAACTGAGTATATATGTTAAACAGATCTTTGATCTTTCACTGAAACCTTTACTAATCAGAAGCTGTAGTGTGCAGCTCTGCAGATGTTGTAGGACACTAAGGACCAGATTTCATTAGTGGAGCAAATTAAGTGAGGTTGCAATCACAAAAATGCTCTGATGGGAGTAAAAAGTTCTGCAGATGATCTACTAACAATATGCTAATTTACAAAGACTCAGACAGTCCATTTAAATAATGCCAGCATTCTACTGAGAGCACCGCAAATTAGCAGATCCCCAAATCAGCAAGTTGAAGAGGGTGCAAGTAGCCCACTAACCAAAATAATGGAAAGCATGGTAACTCAGATCAATTGGAGGCAGCTGAGTGACAATAAGTTTTTGATAATCTTCCAGATCGTGGCAACAGTTCTCTGTACAAGCAGACACATTCTGCTATACATCGCGTATCAGGACTCTCCTTCTGCCTCAGCTCAGACAGTCGGTTTAGTTAAGATCTGCTCTGTTTTCATCCAAATACTAGTGTTCTTGAAGACTGGAAATATGTCGTGCACGGCTCTAAAAATGCAGGGTGAAGAGTTATAACGCACAGCCAGAGCTCGGGCACGATCCTCACACCTTTGAGTGATCCACCAGCGCTGATTACACACTTGTTTTTAAAAGCCTCTCATTCCAAGTAAATTTACACTCCTAAGCAGCAACTATCACAACCAAGTGGGACACAAAATAACACATGCTTCTTCTTTTTACACTAAATTCAGGACAATTTTCACAAACTTGTGTGCTGCGAACCAAAATAAAGCACATTTGCATGATCTGATCTGAAACTCTTACAAAGCAAACATGATAAGTCCAACTACAAACAATACATCACAAACATGATGCTGGCATTAACCTTTTAAAGCCATGAGACAGTTTTGTGCTGACACATACTGTTAGTAAGCAGTTCACAGTCCTAAGACTAGTAGGGAAAAAATTATTAATTTTTTAATTTGTAGGTTTTGAATTTTTCTGTTTGGCTTTGAATTGTTAAATAAAATAAATTAAAACAATTTTGTTATAATTATTGTCTTAAAAGAATTCAAATATTTAAAAAATGATTTCATTAGTGAAATTAAGATGCATGTGACTCTCCATTTTCTTTTCATGGAGACTTCAGTAGCTATAAATGACCTTATTAGCATAATGTGTTCATGAGAATATAAATCACTGCTGAGACTCCCTGACAAGAGTGAAGTCTGACTGTGCCTCTGTATGCCAGTGTGAGGGCAGTGAGCAGAGCTCTGTTTGACCTTGGAGCACACTGTACCTCATGCCTTTTGTGGAGCGATTATGGAAATTCTGCAGCAGCTGCGGGACGCCCAGCATGGCCTCGAACATCACGGCCAGCGAACCCAAAGTCTCCACAAACACCACAGAGTCCAGCAGCAGCAGGGTGATGACTGCACACACGACGGTGAAGCCGAAGCAGAAGAGAAGGTAGTCCTCAAAGGCGCTCCACTTCCAGAAGTAATGCAAGTTCAGGTCTATAATCGGGAGATAGAAACGCAGACAAACATTTACTGGTAATCGACGGTTTTTGGACTCTAGTCAAAAATGAAAGAAATGGTGACGAGAGCAGAACAGAGAAAATGAAAGATTCTGAAAAAGAGTCAGAAACAGAAAGCAGAGATGATGAAACAGAGATAAATGTAAGCGTGTGTGTGGCTGCTGAGGGGTAACGACATGCTTACGCTATGTGAGGATGGGAAAAGAGGAGTGATTGAGACAGGTGCAAAAAAGAAGGACCAATGAGCACATTTCATTACAGGATGCATAGAATTCTGCAAAGACGGCACTAAAATCACTGAGCACATGCATACGTGAATGTAACAAAGAAAAACGAGATTCTCAAAAGCTTTAACATTTCTATTACTTTGTAATAAATTGGCCTTTAGCGAGGCTGAGCTATACATTTACGTTTATTACCTTCAAACCTTTTCATTGACACAAGCGTATTTATCACGTGTGCCGTTACAATTCAGAGGAAAATTAAAAGACCACGGCTTTTGTTAGCTTGCAGAAACATTAAAGAAAAAGTGAGTCAGTGTGACTGTGAAGTAAAATTGAACACGAGAACAGCCACACTGTGGTCTAGCAGTTTCAGCCATCTTCAGTAACAGCGGCGACTCCACGTGCTTCAGAAGGAAATCTTATGAGCGGGAACATTAGGCTCACTACAGCTGAATTCCCATCAACCATCAGTGTTGTACCAGTGGACCATTATATGAGATGATGGACAATCTCTCATTGTGTATGTATGACCGTGGAAAACCGGCTGACATCAGCTAGAGGGGATTGATGACTAAATAAGAGCGCATTAGTTAGTGTAGAGACTGGAGTACGCCGTGTGCTGTGAAGCACCTGACCTCTCCACCTGAGGTAGATACTTTTCAGACGTCCAAGTACGCTCGCTTCATGAGCAAAAATAGGGGCGTGTAGGTGTGTAGATGTAGGTGATTTTAAGCTCACAAACTGACGTTTCTGTGTCAGCTGATGTTTTTTACTTGTATGGTTTGAATGATGCTTCTGTGCTCTATCCTGGTGTCTACTGTGATCTACTCGATGAACAGAAAACAATCATTAAGAAGACGTCGGACACACAGATGTCTTCAAATTGCATTTTGGTTCAACCAAGACGGTAAAATACAGATACTGCATTCAAAATGACACAAAAGAAAAAGAAGAATCTATTTCATTCCAAATTAATCAATTCATCTTTTAAGAATGAATTAATCCAGACTAAGACTTAAGGTGGAATTAACCATTTAGTTTGCTGTCAGCTAAACTAAAAATGAATCATTTCAATTCAGTTTCATTTGTATAAGCAAACATCCCAGCATTCACACTCCGACCCCAGACTATCAAATCAAATAAGAGAAAACAACGGAAGAAATCTGAGGAAGATCAACAGACATCAGTCCTGATTCCAGTTAAAACAATCGAAGTATAACAATTAGAGACAGCAATGCTATAAGAAAAGAAATGATCGCAGACTCACAACATTCATTAGAAACTTATTAAAGGTATTAAACTGCATTTTCTTTACTTGTGTCAGATGAATAGATCAGACATGCTGAGAGTCAAACTTATTGTTACGATTCAAACACAGCAAGTTTCTGTTACTACGTTAAGCTGATATTTGTACTCTTACTGTGTCCTTAATCAGGCAGTACAAGTGGAGTCAAATGTATATACATGTAGAAAAGTTATATGATAACTTTCTTCTGAAATATTAAACAACACAAGTCTATTAGTGGCTTTTATTTCTTCATAGTTTATTAAAAATCTCATCCTGACGTGTTTCCATCTCACATTCAGTGGAAACACTTCACACTGCGGTGGCTCATTTCAGACAAGCTGAACTGTTTTGTGGGGTTTTTGGCTGGACCATCACTACCTTCCTCACCAAGTTTCACACATGCCACATCTGCTGAATGTCCTCGTTCCAAAAAGGAAATTCAGTGCACACTGCAGATGCATGAGTGGTCAGAATTGGACTTCCAGGAAATGAGCTAATGAGAACCAAAATACTGGAAGTTGGATTTTTATGTGTGGAATCGCAGAACTTTCTGATCGCATCCTGACGACGGTTTTGCACGACTCTTGCTTTTCTTGGCGGTGGTGACAAAGATACAGGAGTCAATGTTTCTGTGTCACTCAGAGAGAAATGTTTCCAGCTCCTCCGTCTGAACAGGGACTTTTCCATTTCTAACCGTACACGCGATACATACGTGTGATTGTGCAGAATAAGCACGCACATGCATCAAACACCTGACTGGGACATTTTTGATTTCACACTTGTAAGCTGCATCTGCTGCGCTGTCTTGGGACACACAGAATGAGACGTGTTGCAACAAGTGCTGCATGTTTGCAGCAAACAGCAAATGTGATTAATGGCTTTATT